AATAATAATACTTAATAGGGTGGATACCGATCCATCTTGCAGCTTTTGTATTGAGTAAAGTGCATCTATACATTAACATATGGATACTAGCGTGTGCATGTAGTAAGCAAATTCCAAATCAAACATCAGTGACAATTACAAGAACTCACAGTTCTCTCGGCTCATATTTCTAATTTAGTAAGTATTCCAGAAGAATATTTGCAATGGAGGCTTACTCATTGTTAGCGAAATATTTAAGGATCTAAGTAAAAAGTTTTTATCCATGAAATGTCTTGTTAGCATTTCAGGTAAAATATTTTATCATGGGACCCATTTCAGGAAATCAAACACTTCACAAGGTGGCACAATCACAGGAGGAGGAGCACATTGAAGAGAGACGAGCGATCGTGACCAGAATATAAATCTTCAAATTCTGTAACGTTTACAATTGGTCACAATATGTAGGTATGTTCTGTTCTGTCGCAAACGTCTTGATTTAGTTGCAATGATGTCAAAAGTCCTATCACTTTGTATGCTAAATTTCATTCAACTCGGTAAAGCCCGTTTGAGCGTAAACAAACGACCGCACTTAGATAAGCAGATACGTAAAAACTAAACGTTACGTTATGTTCCTTGTTTGCGAAAGAACGCCTTTCTAAATTTTGAAGTACGTAAAAATATTCTCTTACTATTGAAATGGTAAGCACTTACATACATAGATACTTATGAATATTAGACGATCTTAAGAGCTCCGGTATAGTGACAGATACAGTGAAAGCATGTAGCGTTCTTGTATCCTCCAAATATATTAGGTTTCTCTCCCCTTTTTAGATGTATTTTCCAACAGAGATGGAGGATGCTTCTATAAAACCGCAGGGAGTGTATAGTGCTAAATAAATGAGAAGAATACGTTAAGGGAAAAAGCTTTATCAAAATATACAGATGATACTGACTCGACTTGTGACTCTGACTGCCTCGGTGGTGCAGTGGTAGCGTATGCGACTGCAGTTCTGAGGTCTCGGGTTCAATTCCTCCCGTTGGACTAAATGATCTGCAATTATTTATTCAGGAGTTTGGGTGTTTTCTATGTATTATATGTATGTATTTACAAAAAAAAGTATGTAAGAATTCTATCAGTCAGTCTAGTTTACATAGTACAAGCTCTGCTTAGTTTGAAACTAGATGGAATTGTGTGTACGATATTCGGCAATATTATTATTATACTTAAACTTGTCATCTTATAAGTAATACATATGTACTCGTATTATACTATGTCAATCTGACCTTTCAAGAGCCATTGACGATCAAAAACTTTGTTAAAAGTATCTTCATCTTATTTTTGTCACCATAAATCTTTAAATATTTACAGTTGAAAAGATTTCATAGAAAAATACTAAAAAACGCGGTGAGGATTTCATACCACATTTTTGTCTGAATATGTGAATTAGAGACATGACTTACGGTATGGCAAATTCGGCAATCGTTGAATAAAATTCTGTAAACATTACAGTTTTGTTTTTAAATATTGGCTTTTGAACTGATTAAATTGTCAATCATACACGTTTGAGTAATAAAAATAAAAAATTTCTAGTTCATGATTAACTTTTGACATAATGTATATTTAGGACCTATTTCATAATTAGGCAAAGGACTTATTCCCATTTAGGGCATCCATGATCCACAAATAATATGTACCACACCAGTTTGGGCCCCTCCCACAATCAATAGATCTTTTTGCATTTGCAATATGCATTAATGTATCAATAGCAGAGTTGTCTAAAATTTAATACACTATGGCCTAAAAAGTTCAAATTACAAGTTAAGTTGTTGCTTTTGGTAAAAAACTTTTCTTTCCTGTGTTATAATATATCTGAATCTCAATTCAATACTTGAATGCTCCTCAACTTAAACAACCGTCTGTGCAAATCGAGCGTCGCTCTCATATCAGATTCAAGAAAAAAAAATCTAAGGTAAGTCATGCAATATTTTTCTCCGCTTTGTATAAATGAAAACCACTAGGCACATACATCTGCATGTAAATGATACATTCTTGAGAACATACTTATGCATTAGGGAGGCTATTTGCATACAGGTCTTTGAAAGCAGAATCGCTGAATTGTATTTTACCATTTAATGCTAATGCATGATACAGTTCTGAGGACTTTTAAATTGCAAAAACCACACTCTTTCCTTCAATAATAGGGCTATTACGGTATGTTATTACACACAGTACGATGTAACCCTTTTATTTTGTTAACGGGGTGGTAAATCCCTTCGGATTTCCTGCTCCCCTTGGACTCAGGAGCCAGGAGTATGTGGTGATTCCCTTAAAAACACTCTGGGAGGACACGGACCATGTTCCTTCATTTCCTCCCCGAATTGACACCATGCTTAATAAGGCCGTATCCCACGGGAAAAACTTTCCCTCTCAATCGGGACGTGGCGCCCCATTGCGTCTCATACACTACCGCAATCCCTAACTCTCGATTCGTACCTTTAGCTTTCTTAATAATTTATGCTATCTCATTGTCTATATTAACTATGTATTAAATTCTTGGGTGGCAGAAAATATTATACTAATGCCGCAATTCTTACGATAAGTATTGCAGAATGCAGGAATAAAACTCCCTAACTTTCACAATTTATAACCATAAATTGGGCCAAAGTGTTTTTGTAGACGCAACGTGTGTTAAGTGGAGCAGAGATACGATAGGCGAATGTAGTTTATAACAATAATGTCTTCGGCCAAGTTTCTTGTTTATATTATATTATATTGGATGTTTTAAGTACTAGCAGGGGAGGCAAAAGGGAAGAATTCTACCAAGTAATCTACTCCTTGATTATTGTATCGCTTTTTAAGAGCATAAATAGAAAAAGAAGCCCAAAGATAATACATTTTTACTGCGTGTTTTATGTTGCTGAGTTAATTGAAAATTTTAAATACAGCATTTTCAACAAGAAATTACAAGAAATTTACATCAAGAAATTTATGTAAACAATAAAAGGATATTGTTTAACGGTAGCATATACCAAAGCTTTTGAGGTGGACATTTGTTATAAGAGTGTTCCTTTAAATTTTCTATGTATTTATTTTCTATTGTTAACAAAAAGTTTATAGGAATAGTGATATTTTATTCGTTCAGGTTTATAAACATCATACAGTGGTAGGAATTGGGCTATACCCTTATAACCTAAGGATAATGTAGAGTGACTGAAACTGACGTTCACTGTTCATTCATACGAATGTTCTGTCTACATGCAGTATCAATGAATCAATGAACAAATGACATTTTGTTTACCTATACTATATAAAAAAACTGGAATATATGATAGGTGTAAGTGTATCCTATTACCTAGTAAGATATTAAAATATAATACGTATGTGTTTACGATTCAATAAACGAAAAATACGTTTTTTTTTTTCAAATTCTGTAATTCAATGCAGCAATGTGCAAATAACTCCAGACTACTTCAACGACTATGCTCTCTGTATTCTCTATACTTTTACAAATAGTATCGGCCCCAAGTTTGATATAAATAGACACGATGTAAGATCTCTTTACTTATACTACTTAGAATATATATTCTAAGGAAGAAGATAATAGAATATTCATTATACAGTAGGGAATTGTTTAATAGTACAAGGGGCAAACTAACACCGGGGATTTCTTTCCTCCAGGGATTTCCTTTCTATGGTACGCCTGATTCCCCGGCTACTGGTACCCAACAAGGCGTGCGGTTTTTAGTCGGTCCGACATAAGCACTCTACTAGTGGATGGTACCCGAGGGGATTTCCGCACAGTGGCAAAAAGGGAGGCAAGCGAGTAGACGAATCCTAATTGCAAGCCTGATCGCAAGTGACAAGCGTTTGGGTAACGCTTACGTAACGCCTAGATACTTGAAACTCAAGAGACACAAGTGTGTTCCGCCTTTTGAGTGTTATATTCTCATGGGAGTTCAATTCGAGGGTTACATTCAATAATATTAAAAATTCAAATATTAGTTTACTTCTTTCGCTTTGACGTCTCAACTACTCAACCAATTTAAATGTTTTTCCCATGTGCGTTTTATATACCTTTCGACGGATTTTTTTTCAAAAACCAGATTGTCATGAATGAAACTAAATATCCTATATACACTCACATTTTTATCTTCGAAGGAGAGACCTATGTCTAGGAGTGAACTGTTAAAAGCTGTTGATGAAATAATCTCTCTCTTATAATGCTTCAAAAGTAAAACTTAAATGCGATACTCAAGCGCTATTACGATACCACGTTTACGGAGGAACCATAAAGTTTACACATTGTGAAACAACAACAAAAAAAAAACAATAAAAAACATTGTTTTAATATATTACAAAAAAATAAATAAATACATACAATGATAGTCAAACTCACTTTAACAAAAATAAGCACTAACGATTGCATTTCGCATTATAACTACGTGAATAATTTAAATTACCAATACACCAATACTAAAGCCAAAAAAATATCAGCCGTTGAAATTTCTTAGGGTAACATTATCATAACATCCTCCACAACCTTTGAGATTCGTGAACATTGGTTCGTGCTTAACAATAAAACCACAAAATTATTACAAACAAAGTATTAAAGACTTAAATTCGTGATGCGTATTGATGTTCGTATTTCGAATTCAAATCAAAAAAATTTAAGTGTATTTAACGGCACACACCTTTTTAATATTAAATTATATAAATCTACCTCTTGTAATATTTACAATTAAAAATTTCTATACAAACTATTTCTGCCCAACTAAATTACTAAGATTCAGGTTCTAAAAATTAAATTCCGTATGAAATTAAAATTTACAAATTGAATATGACATGACTACAGTTTTAAAAGTGTAGATTATTGAAACCTATTCTTTTTCATGTTTAGACATACTCGTATAAAGCAATGAAAAAATAATAGAAATAACACTTCTATTATTTTTTCACTACTTTGTAAAAAGGTATTTGAGCACCTTAAGAACTATGATTATGAATATTTTAGGAACATTGTCTAAGATTCTGACATGCTTTCCACTTCTACAACATGTCTATGCTTTTTCTTCTTATGGATTCCCTCAAACTCATTTTGGATTTCTATAAGCGTTCTTCCTTTAGTTTCAGGTACAAAAAAGTAGACAAATATAGTGCCAACGAGACAAGCCACAGCGAAATTCCATAATGTCCATCCAGGTTTTACCATTTCCCTCATATTTAGGTATAATTTCGTCGCACCAAAGGCTAAAAACCAGTGAAAACCTGCTGTTATAGCAGTTGCTCTTCTTGTTACGTTAGGAGGGAATATTTCTCTAAGCATCAACCATGGTATAGGTCCAACACCAGCAGCGTAAAAACTAACAAAAAGACATAGAGTAAAAAGTGGAACCCATGTATGATTCAAAGACATGTTTGATACTTTCAAGTGATAATAAATTGCTAGGCATCCTAAATTAACTGCCATTGCCATAAATGATACCATTAGAAGTATACGTCTTCTTACCACCTTCAAAAGCGTTGTAGAAAAGTATGTTGATGACACCAAACAGAATCCCAACATTATAACTGCTCCTTGAGGGTTTAATGAAATGGCAAAAGTTTCAAAAATGTCTTTAGCGTAGAATAGTATAGGGTAAATTCCAGCCAACTGTTGAAATATCATAAGTCCAAAAGAAACAATGAGTGCTTTAAACGTTGATTTCGTACTGAATAGTTGCTTAAAGGTTACTCTGTTTTTTACGGAACTTCTTAAGTACTCCCTCAAATCCTTTATTTCCGAATCTATGTCATTATCAATGCCTCTGAAATATCTTAATGCTGCTTTTGCTTCATGAAACTTGCCTTGAGAAAGCAAATATGCTGGTGATTCAGGAAGAAAAATAAACGCAACGAAAAATGCGATTGGGACGCTGGCACAGAGTACTGCCAGCCATGATGTACTTTCTACCAAACCTGAAATTAAATTAAAATCTCAAATAATTGTTTTATTAAATATATGTGTTTAGTATGTTTTTCTTACTACTACTAGGTACTAGTTGGTTGTAAAATACTATGAACTAAGTTACTAAGGTTTTTAAATTAGTGCGTACGGGGTATACGCACTAATTTTCACAAAAAAAAAATCTTTTCCACAAACCAAAAAAACTTTCTTTGAACTGTATAGAAAAATTGACCAGGCTACAGAGGAAATCATTATAAATATCCAAAGTACTAAGAAGTAAAGGTATAAACTTTTGCATGTTCTCAGTGAATTTAAATATGCTTGAATTTAAGACTTTGATAAATTAATATGTTTTTACCTATGATATATCCAAATAGTATACCGCAACTGAAATGGACATGGTAAAAGTTAGCCATGGCGCGTAGAATTTGCTTCTCGGCAATGTCTTCAATGTAGGGTGGTATACTGACACTGAATGCTCCTAATGCCACTCCTCCGACAAAACGACCCACATACAGTCCGTAGACGTTTGGACTGCAAAATAAGTTTATAGTTTACTTTATTATATTACCTTAATATAGAATTTTTGGTGTTGGGAACATAAACGTATAGGGACCTGTACAAAAGTAGAAAAGGGATAAAGTTATTTCTAACTTTTTCTTTCCAAACCATTTTTTAGGTTACGTCTGAAGTCCTATTACAAGAATTGACTTCTAATCAAATTTGTCTGTAAATAACTTTGTTTCTAAAACAATATTACTTCAATCCGATGAAAAACTGCCCACAACTTTCGAAACGTATTTTTTCAGTAGTATGGTCAAACCGCCGTAAGCTTGGCCCTCCCGATGGTTTGCGGGACGAGGGGTACGCTCAACCAATTAGCTAGTGTGTCGCTGTCCACCGGCAGTGACTGACGTGAAAGTATGGTTTTACGTGTTATTTTTTTCAAGACTGCTGCACTCGGTATTATTTTGTAACATGCATAATCTGCCGACTAAGGGAGCAAGCTACGCAGGACAACAGCACTACAAAGAGAAAAAAAACTTGAAACAAAACCTATACCAACCTTACTAGGCCCCCCTACCAATAAGTAGATTTTTTTTTATATTAGAGGGGGCAGACGAGCAGGCGGGTCACCAGGTACTGTGTTAACAATATTCAACACGAATCAAACATCAGGAAAAAAAATTCAAATGGTCAATGAAAGAATCTAAACCTTTACAAGTCGAATATTTCCTTACAAAATCCGCCTAAGTTGAATACCTCCGTAAGTCTAAAACTCTATAACTCGAATTATTATATAATTCAAGGAAGACTTACAGAGGTTCTACTGTTTAAAGTTATATATTTATTATTTTACTTTATTATTAAATTGTATCTGAATATAATTCACATTTAAAAAAAATACAATTAATCTTACAATATAGTGCAATATAATACATTGAAATAAATTCTATTTTTATTACATCGTGTGTAGATTAAATCTCAAACAAATAATTCTGAAGATATCGAGTTGGTAGATCGTGTCGTGTATATAGCCGAGCACATCACCCGTCCCGCGTCCCGCAAACCATCGGGCGGACCAAGCTTACGGCGGTTCGACTATAGTATAGTCAGATTAAAAATCTAAATAAGAAAGTTTTTGTAAAACTCATGTCCCGTCAGAGATAACGCCTCTTTGGGGGTTTCCACATGAACAAAAAAGGGTTTCATCGTATAGGTTAAGTTTATCCTCTACTGCTGGAATTTTTTACAAGTTTGAGGGTATCTGTTCTAATATTTACATGATCATACTTGTACACATGTTGGTTCACCGGTATGAAAACTAATAAGCTTTTAGGCATACCCTCATGACGAATAGTTGTTTGTCTTGCAATATTTTATGTAGTTCTTACAACGTACTAGTTAGTAGCGAGAAACATCACCTTTTATCATGATGAGGACATCGTATTTAATTTATTTAGGTGTAAATTTAAAACACATAAATTATATTCGCAGTTAATCGGTACTGTCATTTCCCAAAAAAAAAACGAAAATTTTAGAAATTTAATTAATAATTTTATCTTTAATTTCAACAGGCTTTAAATATTACTTTATATTGTACAGTCATTTTGCGATGCAAGTATTTTGCTATGAACGCCTGAGGAGGTAAGCTCCTTGCACACCTAGTCAAGGTGATAGCCTTAGTGTCAGGGTTGCATAGTAAAGGCTGGATAGAAAAGTCGTGTCGATGTGCATTTTCTCGAACCTGACCCATCATAAGCATGCCGTCAGCAGAACAAGTCCATATGTATTACAATCGTAATAGACACGCCACATTGCACCCAATTGTACCCAAAGTTATCTCTCTTTATGAATGCATTACTAACACTACATTCCTAATTAAAAATTGTATTTTACATACCTAGAGGCAACTAGAATCCAAGAAACTAGTAGTGGTAAAGCCAGGTACAATAAAGTTTTCTTTCTACCAAAGTACTCCGAAATAAGGCCAGAAGGCACTGCACCAAATACGGCCCCAAGACAAAGTAAAGAGGCAGCCCATGATGCTTCATATGGTGTAAGCTGAAAAATAATACAGAATTAAAAGTTATCGCCTTATATTGTGTTAAAGGTCGTACGAACTATTTAAGACTTCCAATTTTAGTTTAATAACAGATACTTTTTATAGTCTTGTTAGATTTTTGTGAAACTAACGAAAAGTTTATCTGCTAAGGAATTTTCATCACTTAAACGGGTTTAAGATCTTAACAGTAAGGATTCCAAAAATTCCAATGTCTTTAGTTGATATTACAAATATTTAAACAAAATATTTCTTTGTCTTTGATTCTAAAACTAAATCAATAAGTCTAAAAGTCTATTTTTGGATATCTAAGAATATTTATTTGAGCAAAATAATTGTGAAAATATTGGTATAAAATGTTAAATACTGAGTTCAAGTAATTAGAAACTAACGCAAATATATTAATAAACTTACCTGAAGTTTATCGTATGGAGTACCAAGCGAGCTTGGTGTAGAGTTCGCCACGGCAATTACGTCCCGCGTCGGCGACGGCTGTAAATTACAAGTATTTATTGACTTCATTAATCACGCCACACATCATAAGCAAGGTTATTTTGTTCTATTGTTTGTTCTAATATTCTTCTCTAAGGTTTATGACAAAACGCAATTAAGAATCTTATTAATAATATTCCTTATTTCATCAAATATCATCTTCATTTCCAAAGTGATTTATTGGAATCTGAATTTTTATCTGAGTAACTAAACAAAACCGATGTTATACTATTAACGAACATTTTAACAATGAAAATATGACATTAAAGATTTCAACTCCAGTCTCCATAAAAAAAAGCTGATGTACCATTTAAAATTTTGTGTTACTAGAGCCACATACCACAGAACCAATCAGCGAATGACCACAGCTGATGGAACCTAGTAGAAATGCCAGCAATTCAAAGGTATGTAAAACCACCGTCGTTTCGTAATAAATATTATAAAATTAATAATTAACTAGACCGTTCATGGTTAGCACTAGCAATGAAACTATAATTTTGATAAATTAAAACGAATTCAAATCAGCTAACCGGGCAACTAATGGAACGTTGTTGTTTGTTGTAACGTAAAGAAAATAGCCATATAGATATAAAAGCATTCTAAATATTACCTTTAAAAAGTTTCGTTAAAAAAAATAATTGCAGAATACTAGTCATGACTTATAAATAAAATTCCATTATTCTTCAATAAGCCCGATTTATTTTCGGTTACTGCCCACAGTAAATATTATGTATAAGTGTTATTATAGAGGCCAAAATAAAAATTATCACTCTCGTAATCTTGTTAAATCTCTGTACTTTTGGACAATATAATTTAAAAAATGTCCGTATGGTGACGGATTAAGAATACGGAATGTCACCATCCCTATTCATCCCGTGGGTGTCGTAAGAGCCGACTAAGGGAACAAACTACGCAGGACAACAGCACTGCAAAGAGAAGGAAAACTTGCAACAAACCCTTTTTTTTTTTTTTTTTTTTTTAACGTGTGGAAATCCCCTCGGACCGTCACCCCTCCGGGGTTTGCGGCGGGGTGGTGTGTCGGACTCGGACCGACTAAAACCACACGGTGTGCCACTCTGCGCCTGTAACAGGAGGGATCCGGGAACAGCTGTTGTTAAGACATCCGGACCCCTCCTAGCGCCAGCCCGCTCCTGGTGCGGGCTCCGTCTCAATACATTTTCCTCTCTTTAGGCGACGTCCGGCACACGCGGACGCCGCGCCCTCGCGGCTGGCCAACTAATGAACTAAACTAAAACAAACCCTATACCAACCCGTCTGGCCAGCGTGGTATAGTAGGCCAAAACCTCCTTTCTAAGGAGAGGCCTATGTCCAGCAGTGGACTATTATAGGCTGTCGATGATTGATGAATTTAAAAAATATATTTAATATTTATTTGATTACAAAATACTTACCTCGATAAATATCGTTACAAGTAACTTGATAGAAATCAACGAGCTTTTCAGAGATGAAACTTTAATATATCGTTGACAATAGCGCGAATGCCACTAAAGTTACGTTGTGTGGGAAAACTTTACAATTTATGGTACCGTGAATACCAACTTACTTGTAGTTTTACGTACGCTGTTATTTGTATACTTACTTTAGAAGAGCAGTTTTAAACTTGTTTGTTTGAGATTCAATAGCAATTAAGTGTTTGTACTTTTAACAGAGTAATGCATCTACAGAGCAATTTTGATATACTAACTCTCTGTTATTATTTCCTTATTTTTGTTGTCAAACTGAGATCTGTGATCTTAATGAATACTGTTTTAAACGTGAGGCATGAAGCCTTTCTTATGGTTTGACAATCAAACAAGAAGATGGGTCACTTGATGATAAGTAACAACCGCTGCTCATGAACACAGCAACGGAAGAGACAGAAATTCGTTTTCACCCTTTGAGTGCTTTTCTCACTTCCCAAGGACTTCAAATTAAACTATCATAATCCACGTTTTCAGAAGGAGCGTAAGAGTTAGGAAGATTAATTAGAGTTAAAAAGATCTGCCGACAAACTTAGAAAGAGTGGCGCTAGTAGCATCTCTGATAGAGGAGTTAATTATAATGACTTAAAATACAATAACCGAAAAAACAACTTAATCTAGTTCCGTATTGCACGCAGACTTAAAGATAATGCAACTGGGTACATAAAATATATTTATAGCAGGACCGAGTCGCTAAAAAGTATAAAAGAGAACAACTGCAAGCGCCAATCTGACCAACACACCTGCATTGCGCTTTTCGAGAATTAAAACCATAAACAAACTCTTTATTACATCCAAGTTTTACAATACTCAGCCTTATATCAATACTTTAAAGCTTTATTTTGTTTAAATAAAACATAATGTTTTTGAGATGCCATTCTATAACCCCCATAAGCCATCGTTTTATGGCATGCGGCAACTGTCAGTTGTTTAGCAAACTTTGGCAAACTGTACTTTAAGTTTTCACCGCATTTAAGCGACTAACAAGAAACAAACAGCAACACGACTCCTAGGGAATTAGAGTGCTGATAAACAATTTAATGAGAAGATAAGTTTCAATAATATTAAGTCTACTGGAAAGGGTAAAACCGCAACAAAAGACTTAAATTCATTAAAATAGTTAGATCGTTTGTGAGAATTTTAATGCAATAGCTTGTAATAACTTTTATTTTTATCATTTAATTGATTTTAATAGTATGATGGTGTTTTTTTAGGTTTCGCTGTAAACAATACTTTTAAATATCGATGACAATGAATGAGCTCGTTAATATGTACAATTTTATCTTGCACATAATAACTTATGGATCCTGGTTAAGTACTTTTACTTTTTAATACAGAAAGTATTCCTTAGTTAAGTTATGGAAGTTCTAAAGAAACGGCAACAAGGCGCTATATTGACTTATCTTAGTGCAGAAACTCTTTACAGTGACAGTGCCAAATATTAAACCTCACCTATTTAACCTCAGCAATAAACATTACTAAAATACTAACAAATAAAACTGTCATCCACTTTATTCACTTTACAGGTTTGAACTTGAGACTTGAGAAATAACGGCAAGACTTAATACATGCCGATCAGGTGCCGATACTGCGATTACTACACGTTGTCAAGAATTTACGTCCGGTATACAGAGGCGTTAAAAATGATGCAGACATTTCATTGATAAAATGAATAAAGGGTACCCTTTAACAATCAACCTATAAATTATGGCTGCCTTATCTACAGCAGACATGTCTCCTGCTAATGGGGTCTCGGGTCGGTGTTCTAGTTATTGAGATTTATAATTTATTCTGATTATACTCATATTTATCAAACTTTGTATTCATGAACAACAGTACGCAGAATGAATTTAAGACATTTTAGATGAAATATAGGAATAGGTAGATTCAGTCTTCGATAAAGTGCTGGTAACATTTTTAAGTAACCTACGCCTAGTGATGATGTTTTTTTTTCGTGGTATATGGTGGGCAAGTTTTCAGTGGCTACAGGTTTAAAGAACTTTATTCTCTTAAGGACTTAATCAAAGGCCACTTATAATGAGATACAAAGAATTATTCTATACAATACAAAACTTTTAACCTTTGCGGAGTTACATCACTGACTTTTTTTATTATGTAGTTTTTCAATATATAGTAGAGCAGTGCTTCCTCTAACAATACCGTTTTACTTCCATAATTAGTTCGTGTTAGAATTTGTTGAAGTTTGCCTATCAGAAACATTTTGAAATGTGAAGATAATTTTGGCAACCGTTTGGCAAATTTATTTTCAAGTCGAAACCCAACAAACTAAAATATTGACGATGTAAAATCTCTGAAGTAGAATAGAAGAAGTATATATATTTTACTTATAATGTAGGAGCTCTGGTTTAATTTTATACGTACAAAAAAAGACTAAAAATATATTATAACATTAAGTAACTAAATTGAATCAACCTAACGGATTCCATAATCTTACTCTGCAATGAAAAAGACGCAATATAAAGATTTAAATAGAAAAGGAAAAACCCTAAAAGTCGTTAAAATGAGACGCTAAGTGACATTTAAACAGACAAACTGTTTTTTGTTTCATTTACATGCCAACAACACAGTTTTAAGGAGCTGCTCATATATTTTTTACACAAAGCGTTTATTTAACTTCTTTTGTAGTAAAACGATTTTTTATAATAAAAGAACAAAATATGAATACCGTTTTAAATCTTTGTGTTTACAGTTAATAATAATTCTCAATTAATTTTCTTGAACAACAAAATATGTAATATACTTTAAAAACTTAAATAAAAAAGTAAACCTAGTTTTCATTTTAAAATAGACATTCAATCGACTTTAGTGCTTATTAAATCGATTACACAATGAACCTAAAGTATGTTCACTTTTTTCCTCTTCAAATAGTCCACTATAAAAGTTATTAATATCCAAACAACATTGACTAAAGTAAAGAGTAAAAGTCTCAAAAAAATTAAATTAAGAACCTACTCCTGTATGAGTGGTTAAAATTATAATTGTTTCTATATTAAACCCATAACATAAAATTCTTGTTTTTTAAAGTTGAACCGACTTCAAACAGCACAAACAAAAAGCAAAAAATAAATAAAAATAATCACAAACTGTCATGTAACATTATTATTTCTGTACTTTTATTCTTTTGAAGATTGTAATTAAGTTGAATTTTGTCATCAACAACTTAGAAATGAGATCAGATGACAGTTTTTAAAGTTTACAATTTGATCTAAACTTTTTTCTTTGATTACAAGTTTTATGAATTTACATAATCGAGTTGACGAGCCCTTCGGCAGGCGCTCGTCTAAATGAAGGAAAGATTGCATTCTCTACTTAATACTATCTGAAAGGAGTCTCACACTAGCTACTCTTGGTAGTAGCGTCAAAGTGTTTATCAATTTATAACGCGTTACGCTTTGATGATTCAATAAGCTGCTTAATGGCCCTTAAGCTTCTTAGATCACGCGTGGAGATATTTCAGTAAGTCACAAGGAAGGCTCTGTTCAACGCTACGTACGAGTATGTATAGAATGGGTGAATAAAAATAAACCATATACTGAAAGAAGTCAAAATATTTTGTTCATCTTGGTCACATTTAATACTTATGAAAATCAGGCATTAGGGATACTTAATCAACGTCAAAAAACTCAGCCAGTAGAAGGTCAAGCTTGAAGTCTGATTCCCCTTAAGTTTAATCTAACTTGCCATTCGCAAAGGAAAACGAGGATTGTCAACATTGTTACGACAACGACAACAATTCGCAGCATCACAGACAAAGAGAAAACTAGACATCGTGTCCACGTAGCACATTTGCACGCTTCCAAGAAATATGCAAAATCCGTTAGAGAGGAGGAAGTTAAGAACTAATGGTCACTTGTTTCAACTAAAAGATTTAATTCTACAATTCGTTTGTACACAAGATCTGTTAGCAAGATGTCACAACAAACACATTCTGTTTTAATTGTAATAAACTAAGTTATATTTTTGATTTGAAATGATTTTAAACATATGAAAAAGAAAACGTCAAGATATTATTTTAATTTAAACGATATCAATAAGCAACACACCACGCCATACACAACTTTTAAAAAGATCTTATAAAATAAGTTTAAATTACCCGTAGTAATGAAACAGGACGTAAAGACAACTATTAGGCACTAATTAAGTAGGAGGACATCAAACACCAATTAGGGAGTCACTAATAAATTTCCTTTGGTTATTTCCAATACCTGATTTCCGCATTGTCATGATTATTCCCTTGCTACTTTTAACATGAAGAAAGTAAGTAGCTGTAAATCTTTTTATTCATGATATGGAGGGCAAACAAGCAGGTCACCTTAGGGTAAGTAACTACCGCCGCCAAAGGACAATTGGAATTTAATCCCCCGCCCCCCCCCCCACCCAAATCAGGGGGGGGGGAGATACTAGTGACCTTCTTCGGTTGGTGAAAAGCAAGCAGAAGATTGTTACGGGTTTGTGTGTGGCCGTGGTAGCACTCCAGCTAAGCCGGCCCATGGCTCTCCCACGACGAATTACTCTATTATCATCAACGTAATCATCAACAGCCTTTAGTAGTCCACTACTTTCTAGCCTCTCCTTAGAAATAAGTTTTTGACCTATACCACGCTGGTCCGTCGGGTTGGTACAAAGTTTTTGTCAAGTTTTCCTTTTCTTTGCAGTGCTGTTGTTCTTCGTATCTATATATCTCTATTGTTTCTTTAATACTATTGCTGTAGAAAACTCTGTTAACACTATACTTTACTCGTTCCTCTATATTGCCGTTCTTATCTCCAAAGGTTGCATGTAATAAATTGCTTTTAGCGATAAGGCGCCCTTTGCACATAATTAAGCACTTCATGTTTTTCTTGCAAGCATATCTAAATCGGCATGAAATGAACTTGATTTCTATTCGCTCTTGTCGATAAACGCAAATTGTGTCTCTGCAACACATAGGGAGGATCCTCCGACCAGGTAACATGCCAGATCACAGCTAAATGGTTGATGATGGGAAGTTGTATATATGCTAATTGGCGTGAGAACTTTTCATATCACGATACAAGATTAGCAGTTACTCCATAGTACGATGTGTCTCTCTATCTGGATTAAGAATACGAATTGTCGCCACCCCTATGCATCCCATGTGTGTCGTAAGAGCTGACAAAGGCAGCAAACTACGCAGGATAACAGCATTTCTGAGGAGAGGCATATGTCCGCTAGTGGACTATTGGCTGCTACTAAAGGCTGCTGTTGTGATGTGATGATAATGAATAAATATGTATTTGTTTCATTGTATGTAAAAGTGGCCACATACTCGTACTTACACTAGTCGTGAAATATTCTTATGATATTCATGACGTCGTAGGTAATTTGTGCGTACAAATCTATTCATCTATTTGGAATGTATAAACTTTTATTTTCTGACTTCATGCGACTGGCCTATTGGTCTAGTGGTTAGTGATACCGACTGCCGAGTCAGGGGTTGTGGGTTCGATTCCCACTAGGGCCAATATTTATGTGATGACCACGATCATGTGTTCCGTGTCTTCGATAATTTATCTATTACTAGCTTTTGACCGCGGCTCGTTTGGTGAAATAATGTGATTAAAAAGATTCCTTACATTAAATTAATTATTTAAGTACGAGTATATGAGATATCTCATGACGGGCCTGTAGGTCTAGATGTTAGTAACCCTGACTGCTGAACCGGAGGTCCTATGTTCGATTCCCACCCAGGACAAATTTTGTGTGATGAGCACGGTCATTTGTTCTGCGTCTGGGTGTAATTTCTACCTAGTTTGGGATCAGACGGCCGTGTGTGTGATGTGTGAGATATATTATTATTATTACATATATGATATGGATTTTACTACCCAAAGTCTGATCACAGGTTATGACAACTAAATGTTGTTTATTTTCGTTTCAATTGCACACATTTAGATTAAGACGTGAAGATAACTTGACATTGAGACTACGTGACCTGTTCGCAGTTTTATGTAAACATAATTATAACTGACTGTGTTTAATAACTTATCTATATTAAAACTAACATTTGCGAGGATATAAGTCTGCGTGTCTGTCAACCTTTCGACAAAACCAACCTTTTTACCCATATTAATAATATTGCCATGATGGGGAGTCACAGGACTAGGAAGATAGCAATCTGATTTTGGAGGCGTTATAACAAGTTTTTAGAGAACCGACTTATAAAGTCAGAAAGAATTAGTAGAAAAAAGTCTTTGGTGGAAGCGCGAGGACAGCGAAAAAGAGCTTTCAAAGCTGACAATTTTTTTTTGACGTTTCAATGTTTTCAAACGGTTTCTTTAAGCTAATTTTGATTACACCTTAGTACCTCTATATTATTCAATGCTACATCGTATTAAGAAATATTACATCCTTTAAAGGTGCTTTATTCCGAATCTCATTGTCAAAAATATTGTATCAATTTTTAATACTGTATAGCCTGACCAACAGTTAACGAGTTATTTATGTGTTCAATAAAAAGATTAATATTTATATCGCAAAACTCTGTTGTACAACATAGTACTTGTATCTTTTACTATAGTTTACTTTGATTTTTGTGTATAGTATGTATATGTAGATTGTTACAATTTAGAATTATCGCACGATTAATTGAGGGGTGAGTTGTATACAATTGTTTGATTCATGTTTCCTTAATCCATTTGAATTCTTAAATTAACATGAACTAAGCGGTAAACGAAGAATGTAGGGTAAATAAAAAAGGGTAAATATTTGATGTTCAAAAAGTTAACTTAAATACTCTCCCAGAATGCTATTTATTTATTTTATTCCAATCATAAAGAAACGAAGCTACAGCCGCCTGTCTGCTTTGATCGTACCAACCGCCAAACTAAACGTTTATTGGCGGCCGCTAATGAAAACATTATTTATTTGTCAGCTTCAGTACATACTTTAAACGTAAATTCACCCGGATAACCATTTATACAATTGTGTACCCATACAAGAGAACACTTTTTAAAGTTTTTAAAGACTTTCGTTTACTGCCAATTTTTTTTTTTATCGTCTAAGCTTGCAATATATCTCACGAGGCTCAACAGCAGTGTTGCCACGGTCTCACAGAAAAAACCGGTGTGGAGCAATTATTTTATTACTTTTTACCGAGCTAATGAGGTTACTGGAGACCCCTCACCCTGATGCTGGGGAGGCCTTAACGGTTGGCAATGATTGACGAACGGATGGCGTAGTGGTTTGTGTAACGAACGAATTCTAAAGGTCGCGGGTTCGATTCCCGCTCGAGTCATACATTTGTGTGCATGAACATTTATTGTTTGATTTGGTATGGGCGTTTCTATGTATAATATGTATTTATTTATAAAAAAGTATACAATATATGTATTTATATCAGTTGTCAAGTATAAGCTCTGCTTAGTTTGGGACTAGTTGGCGTTGTGTGAATGTATTGAATATTATTATTATTACCTGATGACCGGTCTGTCAGTACCCTCTTATATCATAAAACATCAGTCTATCTATTGTGTAGCACAGTAACCTAGTAAAAACAAGGTATTACCTCCATAGGTCTTGCTGTTATCAGTGGCAGGGCTGTTGATGACCATGCCACGCAAACGCCGCCAGCAAACGCGCCAAGATTTACTAAAACAATTTTAGTGTCAGACTAGAGTGCCTAGTGTGAGTTTATTTCACATAAACTCGTTCTCGACGATGAGCACGTTCGGCGTTGCGATTGGTGGCAATTTAAGCGCGGGCCAATCGCAGCGCCAAACGCGGTCACCGTGACGATCGCGTAGATGTAAAATAAACTCGCACTTGGTTTAATTCTAAAAATATATACTTATTAAACCCGTTAATGTAACCTTTAGGTACGAGTATGTGTGCATGTACGTGTTTTTGGACATGTTAAACTTACACTAACTTTTAAAGTTTTGCGTTCAACGATATACAATTATTACCTCAGGAATTGAAGTGATTAATTTATTACCTTTGAATTAAATGACCTCTGAAACAGGTTGACCATAGCCACAGTGAGACCACCTGCAACTTGGCAGGCCTGTAGGTAATTCAAAGGCATGAAATTTTCTAAGTAATAATTATATAACAGATTAAACTTAAAATATTTTACTAAATAGTTATTTAAACTCGAAGAAATAATGTAGTTCAAGAATTGGAAACTTTTTAAAGTTTATCGTACCCTTGATATTGCATTTTTGTACAATCTAATTTTACTTTTGTACATTATAAATAGTTTTAAATGAATATCCTATTAATATTCTGTGTTAGTATATAGTAGGACTGCACATCATACAAATGTTTCCATACTGAAACAACTGAAAATAGATAATGTATCATTAAACATTTCGGACCAGATCGCTGAACAGCTGGAAATGCCAATAAGTATCGCACTCCACCAAGCGACTGATCGCAGCCGATGGAAGATGATGAAAGGGAGTCACAATCCTCAGCAGTGAGGGAACGATTAGGAAGATAGTAAGTCTAAAATCTCGTAAAGTCTCACCTATCCCCGTAGCAATGTACTGTGTTGTGAGTCCCGAAGTATCCCTTTTGATATCAGGCACCGTTGCTAACCGTTGCAGTATCTTCTGGTGCCCATTGTGCCGGGCCTCCAGTTGTTCTGTATGTTCACCATTTTGTATTTCCGCAGTTTTTGTATCTGAAGCTGACGTGCTTTGCTCGTCCACTAAAAGTAAAAGATACCATTGCTTTATTAAACATATTAAGTATTTAGTTTTCTATTCTCTAGTATAGTATTCATTATTTACATGAGTCGAAGATCTATACCTAGGTAGTTATGTATAACAACTAATTTTAAATAATAATTATAAATATAATTCTTTATTGGACATACAAATAGTTACTGTGGCCACATCCACATACAGAGAAACAAAAACTACAGCGCGATCTATCGAAAAAACACCGAACTACAGAGTAACTGCTAAGACTGTATCGCGATATCAATAATTCGCACGCCGATTAGCATATACTACTGTATACCATTTCCCAACATCAACCGTAATTATAAGCATAGCTTGTAATATCGTCCTACTGATGTTATGGAAGATTAAGCAATCTATACGTAAATAATAATATGTACTATCCATGTAGTGTCAGATTAAAAATACGAAGTGTCACCACCGCTATTCATCCTGTGAGTGTCGTTAGAGCCAACTAAGGGAGCCAACTACGCCGGACCCCGGTACTGCGAAACCCAAAACCAAACCGTCCGACCAGAGTGTCATAGTACGCCAAAACCTCCTTTCTAAGGAGTGGTTTATGTCCAGCAGTGGACTATTAAAGGATGTTGACGATTGTTAATTTTATGTCTATAAATATATAAAAATTGACAGTACATCATTGTAACTAAGAAGAGCAAGCAATGAAAGTAAAGTGCTTTTGCATAAATTAAAGATGAATTCAGGGTCGTATACATGTAGCGGCTGTTGTATTCTAAGCCCTGTATAACGGTTTTTAAAGTCAAAAGTGATGATGTCTAGTTGGCCTGCTGATAAGTGCCGAAGCATACCTCTCAACGGTCAACTAGAGACAACCAGTAACAGTAATTTATAACGCAAATTAAGTTCCTAATAATAATAGTAACTTAATAGAATAACAGTGAAATATTTTTTATTTAGAGCAAGCTCATATAATATAAGTAACAACTGACTAAATGGAGACTGATAATAAACAATTAGAACATTAAAATATGACGAATATTTTCGGCAAGCTTGCAAAATTTCGTAGTAAGTGATAAAATACGTGTTAGTAATAACATAATTAATGATATCTAAATGTAATGTCTAAGTTTAAATATCATTAATTATGTTATTAAACAAACAGTACCGATGTTTTTAATATTCAGGCCAAAGCTTCTATCTATTTTTATGATGTTTATATAACTTTAAAATAATGCTCTTATTTATGCCACTATTGCTAGAAACCATTAATCATTTAATCTAAACTATGAAATCCTAATTGTGAGCTTATATAAATATTCGACCACGTGTGTGAGTGTAAATTTTGGATGGAGATTAAAACGCAATCATTGTAAACTTTCACTAACAGTTTCAAATGCCAGGTTCACTTGGGGGAGGGCTCACTTTTGTTTTATCCTGCCCCCTCATAACACATGAGCTAGGAGCTAGGTGTTATCTTTGACTGGGTCAAAGGGCTGACCTTGTAACTCTGTACTCTGTGTTATATTTAGTGCAAAAAGAGGTCTGGGGCAGACCCAAATTATCTAGATACTTATGAATAGGTTGTTTCTTAACAACACAACTGTGAAACTTTGTGTTAATTTTATTGGTGCATAATTTTTAGTTACCTGAACCTTTAAATGTTGCTAGATATTAGCATACAATTGTTGCGTTTTTTTTTTTTTAATTATTGTTTAACTATTGAACAGATGACAAATACGCGCTAGTGTTGGACGAGATAAAAATGTGATACGAAAATTGGTTGTTATATAACAAAGATAAATATTAACATGTAACACATTTAAAAGTTATAATTTAAGAATCCTTATTTGTGCGTTATAATAAGAAGGCTCATACTAAATGATTAACAATCTGTATTTATATAAATGTTATGTTGTGTACGGTTTAAAATTCATTGTACACCGATTCAGCTCAATTTTTGACGAGCGAATCTTGGCAAGGTACAACTAGCCTTTAATATAAAGATTGTTGTTTAATTATTCGTTATTCATGAACTGCGATGACTTGATGATGATTTTGCATAAGAGTTAAGAGAATTCCAGGAAACAACATGAAATAAATTTCATCCAGAAACAAATGTTCTTAATAAACACAGAAACAACTTTCACACAACACAAAAAAAAGACAAAGTGTCTGTCCTGTTTTACTTTATATTGTGAAGAACATTAAACTTTTTTATTTTAATAAGACTTACCTCCGCATAAACAACAGCACAATATGTGCCATTGAGAATATTTAATCTTACCGATAGATGTTCTAAGTAGTTCCTTATACCAAAAGCTTATCTTAACGTTTAACTTTACACCAAGTATTAAACAAAAATACACCTACTTTGTTTTAAAGTACACTCGACGATAACTTCACTCAAGTATTTTTTTAAAGTACAATTACAACGTTAGGGTTGTTGCAACGACTGGTCGCTCAATAACATAATCTTGATAACACCGGACGTAGGCCACGTCAAAAATAATAAAGCAGAGATTTTAAACGCGGGTCGCTTTGTCATTGAATTATTTTTTCTGTTTAAATACAATGGTAGTTAAGTCGTGTGGAAACTTGTGTTATTTATTGCTTAAGAATTAACGATGAGGTTTTGAACAAAAGTTTTAAATATATTTTGAAGTCACGTGATTTTACAATGGCCCTTAATCTATTTTTGAACTTTCATATTATTAAAGTATTGACATATTAGCGTTAAGATTGTTCCACGCACATAAGTTAGTTCTAAGTTATTTAAGTAAATGTTTGTACAGTGCACCATTGCACATTATTTGCAGCAGATCTACTGTTTGACTCTAGTCAACAGTCAACCCGACCCCTAACTTCAACCCCCAATACTGAGAGCACTCAAAAAACAGCAATGGTCCTTTATTCCTTTAGTTGCATGCGTCCATGGGGGGCGCTAGTCACTTACCATCAGGCAACCCGTCTGCTCATTTGCCCCCTGTACCATATAAAACATTTTTCCGTTTCTATTTTCTTATATGCTACAGAAACATCATACTTTTGCCAAACTGTATGATAATTTGATGGCAGATGTAACTCCATTTTAATATACAAAAAACACATAGTATATGGCAATTTTAATTACATACAAACATTTTTGATTATATCATCAACAGCCTATACTAGTCCACTGCTGGACATAGGCCTTTCCTTAGAAAGGAGGTTTGATTATATAATATTTATCTTTTATCTACCCAAGAGAGACTCACACACACGTTACACAGAACTGTAAGTACGTATGCACAGATATGTAAGTATGTATATACGCTACAATGACAGTTGTTATTTTTACATTGTTATTTTGTTACTAACACTTTCTAACAGAAACTCATATGGTTTCCTTTTAATTATTTTTTTCGCTTTGTATCGGTACTTCATATTGCACCTTCACTTTTCTTAAAGCGCCCGGTTGACGCCTAGAGGCTCGATTCCTATTACGTAAATGGGATTAAAAATATAGTGCACGGATGGCGCAGTGGTTTAAGCGATCAACTCGCCGCTTCGCGCTGAGTGTTGTGCTGATCGATCCTAACATGGGACAACAATTTGTGTGCTGCACAAGTTGGTATTCTGAGCCTGGCTGTTCTTTGTGTCAATTTCATGTATGTTTGTAAAGACCTACCTTATTTATTCCTACTGAGGGAGATGTGTTTTCAAAATGCGTTGTCTTTATAAAATTTTAAATAAGTCGGCAAAATTTGAGCTCTTAATACGCCTCTGCCTCTCTCTTCAGAGATTTAGACATGACTTGTATATCATCATCATCATCGTGTATATAAATCCTAAAAATATCAATAAATTTTTTGTGTTGCCGTGTAGAAAGGCATGATCATATTAATATAATTCTCTACATTTCTACCTTATAAACATGAACATGAATTCTATCACCATCCGTTCCGCTGTTTATACGAGTATGTAAAATAGAATATTGTTTACAGTCAGCGACTTGGCAAATGCGATTGGATGATTTCTCTACACATCAATGAAAATTCATGACTTAACGAGTTTTGCCTACAGCTTCGATTGCATGAATGTTAAAAAACAGGAATTAGGAATGTTAACTCAGGAATTGTATTATTTTTTCTGTATAAATTTTAAATAATTCCTTACGTGGGAGAGCAATGAGTCAACAAATGGTTCCCCTCTATTTAAAAACCTTATGGCGACTAATACATACAAAGAAACAGAAACACATACTACATCGCCATCTAACGAAGACCCAATGAACTATGGTGTAACTCCTGAATTAGAATTGCTAATCCTGTATCGCGATATGAAGAATTATCTCGCCGATTAGCATATATACAACCTTCCAACATCAACCGTTGGGCCGAGGCCCGCCAGGCATGATCTCCTCCCCTCATCGGAAGACCCAATAGTTTTAAGTGAAATCTGTATACTAACCTAACAACTTACCTTCAGGTGACCGGTCTGCTCGTTTGACTCCCTACATTATAAAAAGATCAGACTTTCTCTCTAGCTACTGTAGTGTTCACATCAGTAAACGTATCTAAAATCTATTAAAGTATTGTTTTAAATTTACATAGGTACGTAAGATATCTATGTTTGCGAAAAATGTTTGATGTCTGTTGAATACGTAATGCGTTGAAAACAGTGCTGTGATCTGCGGAATTCTGCTTCTATTATGTATATTATGGTATTGCTATTATTAATATTTGGAAACTCAATTTCTGATACATTTTGGTACAAAAAAAAAACTTTTAGTAGGATTGGATGGAGCATTTTATAAGAAAAACAGTATAACACAAGTAGTGGTAATAATAAATTCTGCGATTTAAATACTCTGTATCCGTATCATCCATCAATTATTTTGCCATTATTTTTACAACAATACTTAAACTAAATCTAAGGAGTAACGTATTCTTTATACAGCATACAGATGGCTGTTAATATATATACTTATTTATATATTAATACGTTAAGAAAATGCTTTGTGTGAACAAAATCCTTGTTCTTACATTAGTACTCGTAGTGTAATAAAAGAGACCAATTGTCTTTTTCTCTAGAAACTCCTTTAAGAGTTATAAAAGCATATTCACAAAGATAATCCGATTGGATTTATTATCTCGTAATATCAAATGCTATACTTAGTCCAATGTTCTAATTCTCATAAATAATTTGGCGCAATAATATTTTAACGGGTAACCTTTGAACGTAATACATATTTATATAAAATCAAGAATAAAGTTTAGCTCTTCTCTCCGAAATTGTTTCATTTATTATTTATTCGTCTCACGAAACAAACAACTTCACTAAATAAATGAAAACTTTACGACATTGCTCTGAAATGACTTTTTAAAATAAAATTGCTACTTTGCCAGAAGAATGCGTGCTGATCGTAATTAATATTTTAAATTTATTTGTTTTAATCTCAGTCATGGGGTATTAAGCGATTAAATTAAATCAAAATTTTGATACATGTCCTCGGGAATACATAAGTAAATATGATACATTTTATTCAAATACTAAAAGCAATACTTATATAGAGCTACTCAAATGAGTAGAATAATCCCTAGGGTTCGATATTGCGTTCCAGATAATAAGGAATTTCTAGAGTTCATTCTTTCGTTATTTGATACTAGATGGCAAGCAAGTATCGCAATTATATAATAATATATATATAAATACTAGATGGCGCTGTCCTCCAGATTCCATACGACTCTCAATTTTTGAAGAAAGAAAGAAAGAAAGAAAGAAAATACGTTTATTAGTCACAACACAAACACAGCCAAAAAAGGAATTACAGATATAACATAGAAGAGAAAAAGAAAAGAAACAATTTGCTCAACCAAAGGATAGCACAAAACAATAACAAAAACAAACAAGTACAAAAGAATAAAATGATCACTGTGTGTGACTAAAGGGCCACAACTCAGCCTATGCTATAGTCGATAAAAGTGACCACAGCGCAAGTACAAAATACAAGAACCATATAATCCTATGATGCAACAATAGTATTCAGATGATAACACACTCGTGGCTAGTATTATTTCACTAGTCACGAGTATGCTGTAAAGTGAACACGAGAGAGAGACGGATAATAGATAGATCCCTCTATCTCTTTCTAGTCGAGTTCTGTTGTGGGTTGGGGAATTTAAGAAATTATTAAGTAGCCAATCGCAGCTTAGCTAAACAGAGAGCTAAAGGGACAGAGAAGAAACTATCGGGCATTCATCTCTTTCATTGCCTGTATCGCTTCCACCTACAGCCAGCTGTACCCCGTATTCTCTCTATGCTTATATATATGTTAGTTTATCTCAATATTTGAATTTTTAATTATGTATTAAGACGATTAATCTATTTCCCTTACATATCTCTAATATCTTAGGGCTATAAGAAAACATTAGTTCATAGTTCATTTTAAATTTGTAAAAAATATATAAGTTTCTAAAGCGACCCTGATTGTTTACGTCTGTCATTGATACCCCCGGCCCGTCCCGTAACCCCACGCCTATCTTTCTCAGCTTAGCGCCCATAAACACTGTAGATAAACTCTCGTATCTGCCGCTACGTGATTTTAATTTTATTAATAAACCTAAAGCCAATATAATGTAAACAAATCTTTGAACCTTTCAAACTTTGAAAATGTTGAAAACCTTAGTCTTAAAACTAGATAGGATATTTTTAATTAGGACCATATCGGGCACGTCAAAAGTAGGAGACCGAAAGAGCAGCTATTTATATAAACGATGGAAGATTAACTGTTATCATTTGCCACGCCGCTTCCAACTCCGCTGAGTGTTGTGGATTCGATCCCCACATTTGACAACACTTTTTGTCATCCACAAATTGTTGTTCTGAGTCTCAGTGCTCTTTGTGTCCGTTTCATGTATGTTTGTTTAGAATAAATTCCTAGTGCGGTATTTGTCTTTTTAAAGAAGAGCAAAATAATGTACTGTTGTAGCATATACCTAATGCAAAAGAATTAGTTTCTGCACATTTTAATTTGATGAATAATATAAATAAAACTGGCAAAAAATTTAGTAATAAAATCAATTTTACAATTGAATTACTGAAGTGCATTCAAAAGAATTCATCTATAAGAATTATAATGAGTTTAGTCTGTAAAAAGATATTTTGAAACATTATTACATGACAAGTTTGCTCTCGTAAAATTAAACAATGGCATTTTTTATGGTTCCATGTGGTAACGGATTAAGAATAGGGGTGTAACCACCCTTATTCACCTCATGGGTGTCGTAGAAACGATTAAGCATGACAACAGAACTGAAAAGAGAAGGCAAACTTGACACAAACTCTACACACACGGTAGGCCAAAATCTCCTTCCTAAGGAGAAGCCTATGTCCAGCAGTGGACTAGAAAGACTGTTGTTGATGTTTTTTTATGTTTACCCCTAAAAATTTGTTAAGCGGGAATAACATAGCATTAATCCCATGTTTGGTCATAAGAAACGTGACATAATTAATTTTAAAGTTATCCAATTTAAAAAGAAATTATCGATGCCGAAGAGAAGTTCTTTTCAAATGATATAATCACCCATCTTGACCAAAATTTTACTTGACCTAAACGATACTTCATATATACTTATGGCAACCATAAACAAGTTTTAATGTTTCTTTTTTGTTGTTAAGAATAAGGGCTAAACGCGTTTAGCAAAATGCCTTTCAGTCTTTAAAACAAAAGAGGCTATTACCGTCATTGTTTATTTCAAATGTGTATGTGCTTAGTTTCTTTTAGGGTTATAACCTGTGGTAGAATTGTACGAACTCCTTTGGAATGTAGAGAACAAAATACTTATATGATTTGCTTAGTTTTTAATCTTGATAAACTTTGTTTTTAATCATCTACGTAGGTACTTCTAAATGTGAATCTAATTTCCAACTGCAAATAATTAATCGACGTTAACCGAAATTCACAACTGGAGTGTTCGTATTAGACTATATAATATATGTAAGTAGTTTAGGATCGAAACTTTCGATATTGCCCAAAGAACAATAACCATTTTATTTTAAATATTCGTGGTATCAATGTAATTTTCTTATATTATTTTGGGTATATTAAATTAGTGTTTCGTGGGAGTGAAAATATGTGCCGATATCGTATTGCGAATGTTAATAGCCGTTGACATAGCAAAGTAGAAAAGCTTTTGGTTACAGTATAGTATAGGATTCTAGGAGGAGGAGAAAAAGCAGGTTTGATAGACCTATAGGCTTTTATAACATGTCACTGCAGGAAATCTGACAGATACTTCCTATGTAAAAATCTTATCTGAAACTGACAAATCGAATTTCTATTATTTAGAGTGATAAAGTGCTGTCATCGCCAAAACTATAGATATTTAATACCACTCACTTTCCCAATTAGTTAATATAATATAATACTTTAAACTTTATACTCAACAACCGATTGACACTTTGGCTTGATTAAAAATATTTTTAAAATCTTATAGTGCCAGGCAGTTTTGGCAATCAATCCATGGTTTGAAACTTGATTTCTTCAAGTACTATATACGACTAAACGTAGTAGTATCACGATATTGTGATGACATTGTAACACATTTTGCATGTGCTTTCGATAGATGGCGTTGTACTTTTTACCTGAATCACGCCATGGTTTCATTACCACGTCTATGTTATATTTAGTTTTTGATTTGAATAAAACATAATCTTAGTCTTGAAGAGTTGGTGTTTTAATACACGATGTATAACAAATAACGCAAAACAAAGTTATTAAGATAGCTGCAGGAAAGGGGCTTCAGTTTAAATGAAAGCCTTGTTTCTGCTAGTGTTAGGAGAAACAAAAAAATAATATAATATCGCATTCGTTTTATTCTACGGTCATTTTAGGACTGGTGTCATTACTAAGTATAGAATACATATTACTGAGGGTTCCATCACCTATACGAAGGAAATATATTAACTCATATAATGCCTATTTTCAATTGCATCAAGGAAAGGTTACGGCAATCACAGTTTATCAATGTACATAGGTATATTATATATGCAACGGAATGTATTTACTGATGTAAAGATTTAATAGTCTGGTGTAGTAGTATATTTTAATTGGCTTTTATCAACACCCTACATTCATAAACAGGAACATGTTAGTAAACAGATGAATAATTTTATGATATTAGAACCCGTGACTTCGCATATATTGGAGTTTGCTCGTAAGTGCAAGTGCAGTAAATTGAATTAATTAGAAAATCTATACAGTTTTATTCAACTCTGTGTGTGTCCGACTTGTTACGGACCCGACTTTAAAGTACCTACCGCGATGGTGTCAGGCTCTTCTCTCTGCTTTACACGCTTAATTGAATATGTGATAACATAATCCTTTTTTTATTACTTTTAATAAAGTCGTTTGATGTATTTAAAACTAAAATATCAAATGTTTTGGGTCCATTGACTTAAAAACCCAAACAAATTTTAATGTGACATGAAATAGATAAAACTATTATTAATTCATATAGTTTATTATTATTTAGTATATTTCTGTTTAGATTTTTGTTTGATTGTTATTAATTTACTATTCTTACACTATTACATTACAGTAAATGCTACATACACCGCAATTGTCAAACATATCAAATACTAGCTGACCCTGCAAACGTTGTTTTGCTATTTACATTATTTTAATTTTTCTTCGTTCTTAGCTGACCTCAGTGAAAAGAATATTCCTACCAAATTTCAAGTCTTTAGCTCTAATGGTTCCAGAGATATCGTGATGAGTGACTATATACGTGGAAATCTCTTATATATATATAGATAATGCCACACATTGTCAAAATTTGTTACATGTATAATAATTAGACAGACTCGTTAAAGCACGGGACTAAACCTCCATGGTTTTTTGTTGCTATGTAAATTAATTATTTTTGTATGTACATTTTTATATGTTAAATAAATTAAAAAAGTGTCTTAATTCAATATTCTTATAATGAGATAAAAACATGCAGACGGGCAGTGATTGTAATAAAAACGAAATGAAAGTTATTTATTTTATAAAGGTTTAATTATGATTCTTGAGGTGCACGTGCAAGAGTAAACGTCTAAAAAGCGGAGAAAAAGGCTCGGAGGAAGAATGACAGTTAGAATTTAATTATATTAAGACTTAAGTATTATTTACTTTATGCTTCTTACTAGTTGTATACTAACTGCGTTCGTATATCGATTTTCACTAATGTACCATAAGTACTAGACATGTTCTACTTTAATAAAGTCTTTAGAATGTATCGCTTAGTGTTTTAAATAAAACCCCATAGCTAGCCAGTTTACATGTAACTGGGGTATCAAAGTTCTCTTTTTGAACTGACTGGACTGCAAATGGATATTAAACCTGCATGGTGCGAGTTTCCAATTTCAAACTTTTTGTAGATGCAAACGATGCTCTGAATGTAAAATCATTCACGTCATGTTGTTTGCCTTTTGAATATTTTTAAAAATTTGCTTGCAAAATTGAATTATAAGATTTAAGGACGCCAGTGACTTCAAAATCTAGTATCCAACTACTACTTTATAAAAAATACGTTTTTTTCCTAAAACACACTAAAAATTTGAATTTAGGCAGTCGTGTAAATGTCATCTGATATATTAGTCCAAATAGTAGAAACAGCAACCCTTGGTGTCAAAGGGTGCCACCCTTTGACACCAAGGGTACACCAATAAAACAATATACCTAGAACCATTGGAAATAAAGGTCAATAGAATGTAAAGCCTGCTGTCAAAGAGGTGAGTGCAAATATATTTATTGTCTAGATAAGATTTTTTGACAACATTTTATACTCTTATGTAATGAGTACACTAGTATTCTGGATAAGTAAAATTGCATTAAAGTTGTATGTAACTGGAAAAAAACGGTTCTTACTAGAATGTAAATACTGTTAAAGAAAGCAGACTCCTTCCTTATAGACCGGCACCGCACTTGTGACTCCAAAATTGCAGGCGTTCATCAGGTGACACGTCTTCCGTGACCGTATTGTATGTGTACATTTTTTGGCAATATGCTACACGTAGATTGTTTTTTTTTATGGCAGACGAGCAGACAGGTCACCTGATGGAAAGTGACTTCCGCCGCCAATGAACGCCTGCAACTCAGGAATCACAAACGTGTTGCCGCCTTTTAAGAAGAAGTACGCTCTATTCTTAAAGGTTTCAAGGTCGCAGACGATAATTTATTCCACAGATTAGTTATGTGAGACAAAAAGTACCTTGAAAAGCGCACATTGGTAGTACGTCAGTTATCCAGGTGATAAAAACATAAAAAAAAATCGGCATTTATTGATAATAAATTCTTAAACATTTAATCTTTACAAATAAACTGGAGACATTTTAATTAAAAGCTTCTCTATATTTATATTACGTGTAATTTATTTTCAATAATTCAGTTCAACGTACCCGGTGACTTTCTAATCTCCTACAATAGCGTTGAATTACGCCTTCTGCAATGACCTTTTAAATATAACAATAATGATAATTAATTATTCGAGTGACACCTATTTACGAGCAATATTTTATTAGGCAATTCAAACAGTTGGAAACTTTTTTATCGCCGTGAAATACAATTGAAATGCAGAGACAGAGCAGCTGAGAGATTTTCATGAACATTGCTGCTAACACCTTTGTGTGTTCATGTTCTAGGAAGACATACATAAACATCTTTATTTTGCAAGATTTGTATTTTGACCAACGTAATAGAATGGCTGGTTTAAATTTTGAAATTGGATTAAAATTTCATTTTCCTTAAACGGAAATGAAGAAACATAATTACATTCGAATTTGTTTGTCTAATTCTTAGTACAGAAAATGTCATACAGAACTGTAGCGCTTTGCCCGCGGTGTGGGTAACCGTCCTGCCCCGCCCGATGTCTGACACAACCTTTAGTGTAGAAGTCATTGCATCTGAGTTTAATCCTTTTTATATTTTAATTTATTTGGATGAGTAACCGTAACGTGCCTTTTGTCTCAAAGAACAGCAGCAAAACTTATTATAAACTAAACTAAGAATGAAAAATAAAATAATGTTTTATTATTTAGGGATTTTCAGTTAAAACAGAAAATGAATGTCAGTAGAAATTGGTACAGTATAATATCAAATTAAATTGTAGTCCGACCACTCTAAACATTGTCTAAATATACATTTTTAGTAAGTAAAAATATGTTGTAACTTTTCCAGGCCCTTAATATGTTAATACTTTCACCTCCGCCTCTGTAAGTGCAGAACTTTCTAGAGAAATCTTACCTCCACAGATTTCTTCTCGATTACTTTTACCAATAACTCAAAATGTGCAATCTTATTCGTCGTAACGAAGAAATAACATCTTCCTACTACGCTAAGCGCCATGGGTTCGATCCCCATATGGGACAACACTTTGTGTGATCCACAAGTTTTCGTTCTGAGTCTGGTTGTTTTTTGAGTGCGTTTCAAAGCTTTTCACTATCGCATTTATGTCGGTTTAATTGCACTCTAAAAGTGAATAAAAATGTTGGACTGCATGGATGGCGTAGTGGTTTAAGCGGTCGCCACGCCGGCGCCGCTACT